TAGAAGGCCATTGCAAAGACTCAGTGAACATTCTTCTTGACTTTAGAACATCTAGGAAAATAGTCTCTTCCATTTCCACTGGACCAAGATACTTTCTGGTTTCTAGAGTCATTGGTGATACTTATAAAGCTCGTCAGAGGAAAAGTGTGAAGTCACTCCTCCTGCACTGGTATGTCATTTCCTTCCAAAACATATCCTTTGACCTTCAGGTCTAAATTAAAGCAACTCTTCTGTGGTACCTTTAGGTAAATTCCTTCCAATTTTTAGTATTATGTTGAATCATATGATTTATCATTTTTAGATCAAAAACATTCAAGTATCAGCAATGGCATATTGTTCAATATAATAGAAATGGAGATTGGCTGATTCTCAGTCTAAATGTCATTCTCTTGTGTAAGTTCAGACTAATAAATTAACTACTTACTCCCATTTTAAAAAATTCACTGCCTTTTTATTTTCTCTGCTTTCCATCATCTCTACTTTTCTCTATTTTTTTTCTCTCCTCCAACTTCTATTTGAATGAATATGAGTACTAAACAGATATCCCCAGGGGCTGGGGCTTTCCCTGCTCATCTAACGTGAGGGAGAAGTTGATCTAACCCCAGAGGAACATTTACTGCCTTTTTCTGGGCCACAAAATACTCAAGAAACATGGATAATATTGATAGGATGCTTCTCAGCTGCAGTGAATCTCTCATGTGGGAGGCTAAAATGAAAAACAAAAATAAAACCTGAGCACCAAAAATGTTCTGACTTAGCAAAATAAATGAATTTTAAAACATTGCTTCCTTGATCAGGGTTGAATATGTAAATAGGCAGAAAATAAGAAATTCCACTATGGAAGTTACTAGAACACTACTCCTTATATCATTCTTTGTTAATCACTGTAGAAGCACAGTTCTTAATACAGCTTCAAAAAAGACTGATTGAAAGAGTGTTGTAAATATACATGACTTCTTTTAGGCAAGAAACTGTAGAGATGAGTATTCTTTCCCAAATTTTACCCCTGACGTATCAGAACTAAATTGTCCTCATTTGTAAAAATCTAGTTATTAAAACTTGACTAGTTATCAGCAATTCTGTCTCCAAGTCTTCATGGCTGTTCATTTAACTTTTCCTCCAAGAGTTGGTTGTTTTCCAATCACTTTACCCTCGGTTAAGGCTTGGTGGGAAAACATCCCCAGGCTGAATATTTCGTCACTGGCCAAATGGTTACATATTGTCCCTGATTCAACCTTGTCCTAGCCCATGTCTACTCTCCTCCATACACATGGAAAAGGGAGAAAATAGCTCTGCCCTTTTTTATCTGTTCTTTCTGGGAAACAGCCAAACATCCTTTCATAATCAAATGCCTGTGTATCCAGAGGCCACTGGCCACCATCCAAACATTTATTGGTCATTGAACACCTTGCATGAGGTAATTTTCAATTATCTTATTAAACCGGAACAGGGATCTAGTCATGTTACCTTTGATTATAAATGTAGCTCATGTTCTTATTACTGTTAATAGCAGTCCTCGTGGGGTGCCAGCCATTCTCTGGGCACTGTCCCACAGGAAGTGCTGTCCTGTGTGCTTTGCAAAGGAAGGCACCAGGAACAAAGAAGCCAAGGAAAAGACCAGTCAGTCTTTGTTTGTTTCAGAGGAGGGGGCCTGGGATGGAGAAGTGCACGTGGCCAAATGTGGTGGTGGTGTTGGCATGACAAAAGTTTTTGAGATTTCTATGATGGAGTCCTAGAAAGGAAAGTAGAGAATGTGGAATACCTTGAGGGAAAATGACTGTCAATTGTTTTGTTGATCTACAGCTTTATCTTTGGCGCAAATGCTTAAGCAGTGGCAAAACAATCAGACCAAAGCACATTGAGAAGTTTATACTTCTCAGGGCTTCTAAGTTCTCCTCACTGATACAATTTTCAAGTATTTCCTACTTTTGAATTAAATACTTCAATTAATTTATTCACCAAGTTATTGCAAGAATAAGGTCTATGCTATAAGCTAGAGATAGTTGTTTAAAACAAAAAAGAAGTTAAAAATACATATATATATATATAGGAACTTGGAAGTTTGTGGAGAGGGGAGTTCTGGAGCCCCATTTAGTGATTCTGAGATGGTTCAGAAGGATAGTAGCTGATAAGAGGAACAATATAAATCGAAAATCTTAGTACCCATAATGGGAATTTATCACAGGAGAGTAATTGCTTTCTCAGTCTGGCGGCCTTTAAACTAAAAACAAAAAACAACAATAACGGCAAAAAACATCTGATCATGTACGTAATATAGCTGGTTATTATATATGTTAAGATAAATATGTTTTACGATAAAGAGATTATGGCGTTTCTTTCATCTTAATTTTACAGTTTCAATTGTCATTACTACGTTTTCATCATTTCAAAAGATGGCAAATCACTTATATCTCTCTATAATCTCTTTTTTTTATAAAGCAATAGCTTAATAGAGAAAAGTGGTACATCATATAATTAAATAATTCCCTGACCTATCTCTTTTGTAATGTGGGAAAGCAGGGTTTATTCAGATAATCAGCTTAATTTGAAAGGGGAAAGAAAGTGCAGAACATTCAGTGAGATGCGTTGGTAAACTGTGATTCCAGCAGTCTGTCTCTGGGCCTTTCTGCTTTACCCCACTTGAGCATTACAGAGAGGGTTGAGAATGGGGACTTCCAGAGCCTCCTGGAATGAAATTGCATGGTCTCGTGCCCTAAGTGAATTTTACCAGAAAGCCCTGCACAGCAAGCAACTGGAGGGGATATCACTGCTAAAACATTGGACACATTAAATATTTTGCAAAGAGCTGATGTGCTAAATGGAAGAATGCATCAAGTTCTGAGTGACTGGGGTACTTCACTGCCCTCTTTGTAGCTCTAACGTTGGCAGTCCCAAGTTGAGTTGCTATTTTTATTTTTAAAATGCTGCATAAATAAAATCAATTTATAAATATTTATAAACTTATTTCATTAATCCCTTTCTGGTCGAGTGTCATGAAGCTGCATAAGTCCAAAGAATTAAAAATAATACATAAAAGAAACTCTCGAAGGAGTCTCCCTGTGGTACTAAAATTTACCAAAGGTGACCAAGCTCATGCAGCTTTTCTGCTCATAGTTAAATTGCAGTGAGAGTTAAAGTTTCCAGAGGCTTAGACTGGATGCAATACGTTTAGCTTATTTAAACTTTTGACAATACTCTTCTATTTTGACATCGTTCATCTGTCCTTTCCACATCTGTCACAGTATTTCAGGCTTTTTTTTCCTGGCACCCGTATAATTGCTGCCCACTCGTAAACTGTGCCCTATCTTCCTGCCTTCAGGTGCTGGGTGATTTAATCCATCCAATATGCAGCCCTTGGATTAATAACTAGAACATATCCGTTAATTTTATGTCTCCTAGTTTAGACAACAGAAAATTCATTATTCCTCATTGGAGTCCAGACTTCTTTTGCAGATATTTAAGGCTCCTTCTGTAAGGTCATCCCAAAGATGGGTCCAAACCTACCTCTTAGCCCAGGAATAAAAAGTATCAGCTCTGCTCAGTGTTCGTGGGTCTCCCATGGATTTGATTGATGTGCTGTCTCAGCCTAGACTTCTGAGCGCTTACTTTGGCTGAAACCAAATTTCAACCTACTTTCTAGCTGAGTGATTCTCAACCAGGGGGCATTTCGCCCTCCAGGAGACTTTTGACAATGCCCAGAGACATTTTTGTTGGTCACAGCTGGGGAATTGCTTCTGGTATCCAGTGAGTAGAGGCCAGGGATGCTGCTGAGCATCCTGCAATATATAGGACAGCTCTCAAAAGGAATTTTCCAGCTCAAAATGTCACTGATGCTGGGGTAGAGAAACTGTTTAGCTTTATCTAAACTTCAGACCAGCTCTTTTAATATGGTCATCTGCCACTTCCTTGAATATGCGTTGCTTTTTTCCCTCCTCTTTGCCTTCACTCCTCCATTCTCTGTTTGAAATATCTTCCCATCCATCTACAAGTGCTACTTTTAACCTACTGAAATTCTGCCCATTTTTGCAAGCTCAGCTAAATGCCATCTAATATTAAAAAAAAAAGGAAAAAGAAAACCTTCCCTGGTCATTCCACTTGACAGTGACGTCCTCTCTTCCAAATTCCTACAGCGTTTAGTCTTTACCTGTAGTCTGATACTTTCACGGCAAGCGACATTGTAGGGTGCTTACGTCTGTGTCTTATTTCTCATTTTAGATATTTCTAGATATTTAGATACCCTGCAGTTCAATGTATAATTTAAAGCCAAGCAACGTGGCACCCTGAGACTTTGACTCTCTTTCTGTACAGTTTTGCATATTTTTAATCATAGCAGAGTCACAACCTAGAATTTATCTTTCTTTTCACCTAATATTATAATATGCTTTTTCATATTGCTACAAAGTCGCCAAAATTATTTTTAATAACTATACAATAATATTGAATCAAGTCGATATGCTCTAATTTACTTAAACTAGTCTCTTCTTATTTTAAAGTTAACTGAATTTTGGGGGGACAAAATAAGTAATACCAAATTGAATGTCTTTGGTATTTAGGTTTTTCCCCTTTCATCTGCGGTATTCCCTTTGAAACAATTCCAAAGAATGGACTGAATGGTATGGCATGTTTTTATCGCTAGTGATATGTATTGCCAAAATTATTCCACAGTGATTTACCAATTTAAATTGCCAGTGACAATATTTAAGGAAACCATGTGCTTGAAAGAGTGAGAAGGCCTATGTTCATTTGACATTCTGATCCTCACTAATTATATGGTCTTAAGCAAACCACTTAATCTGTTTGATCATTTTTTTTTTTTTTAAAGATTGGCACCTGGGCCAACAACTGTTGCCAATCTTTTTTTTTTTTTTTCTGCTTTATCTCCCCAAACCTCCCTGTACACAGTTGTATATCTTAGTTGCATGTCCTTCTAGTTGTGGGATGTGGGACACTCCCTCAACATGGCCTGATGAGCGGTGCCATGTCCACGCCCAGAATCTGAACCCTGGGCCGCCACAGTGGAGCATGCGAACTTAACCACTTGGCCACGGAGCCGGCCCCTTGATCATATTTTTTTACCTGTGGAATGAAGATAATAAACGTGCGTCATGGGGCCATGGACATTAAATCAGACAATGTCTTTGGAAATAAGTTGTAAACTATAAAACTACTAATGTTCATTCAATAAATATTTATTTAAAGATTTCTATATGCCAGATTCTATACCAAGAACTGGGGATACAGAGAAGAACACAGTCTTGCTTTCAAGGAATTCTCAGTCTAGTGTTACATAATTACCTAAATATTATCACTTTAGGTATAAAATTGAGAAGAAATTATTTTCTATAAAGTACAAGGGATTGAAAATAAAGGCAGAACGTGTAACAGGAAATAGAAATATAAAAAGCCCACCAATTTAATAAGGTCATTCTTAGATTTTTTTTGCTATCAGTTGGTCCGTTTATCTCTCTAGCCTAGATCAGAACTGCACTTCCTTGCTGGAATGTATTTTTGTGGGTTTTTTTCCTCATATGTTACGACAGCACTTTCCTCACTGCTATACCCAGATGTGAATTTTTGTTCTTTTTTTTCCTGCGAAAACTCAAAGCAATTTTTTAGAAGTTCCACTTGCTACTGATGTCATTTCTTTATCTTTTTCTAAGCCATGGGTCTGTAGGAGCTGCGTGAGGGCATGGCCCCACTTGTGGCTGTTTTGTGCCTCTCCCATCAAGACTGCTCTGCTTCAGAGTAACGGGGAGTATTTAGGAACTCCAGCATCCTTAGATCTATCTTTTGGAAGTAGATAATGATTTTTCTGCCTTTGAATCTAAAGGCCCAGAGCCAGCCCTTTAGTTCCTCATCTCTGAGCTTGCTGGTCCTCAGGAGCTGAGGCTGTGGAAGTAACTGCAGTAAAACCCCCCAGCACTGGCAGTGTAAAGATCGCCGGTGTGAGCAGACAGTGCAGCAGGAGCTCTGGCCTAAGGACTAGAAGCCACAAAAATAGATGGTTCATAGGCAGGAGCAGCTAATGTGGACGGAGATAATAAAAAATGTTACCACTTTGTATGTGCCCCTGAAAAGTCTTCAGACTGTTAGAATACAGTGTCCTTTCTGCCTGATCTAAATTCTGCCCTCACCTACTTGATTGACCTAATCAGATCTAGGATCTTAAGGATTTTCTAGAAAAATTCCCTTCTTTCTGGATTGAGCTCTGGAGTACAGCCCATCACATTCCAGCCTCTTCCCTATTATTGTTGTTAAAATACACCTATGATTCTTGACTCATTCTTTTCTTATTAGGTTGTAAATGAGAATCAGCCTTCCTCTTTTGATGGGTATTTTCTCTCTTTCCTTCATCTTTATTTTTCTCAGAATCAAGTGAAATAGATTATGTCCTTAATTAGAGGCCCATGCTATGTGGAACTGCAGTATTTCCAGGCATTTTACTGATATGTGCAAATGAAGAGAGACAGAGCAAGCTTACAGATTGCAGGTGGGTAGCAAGGAGTAGAGACATTAGGTTAAAGTACCTCCCACAATGCACTTCACTTGAGCAACGGACCTTTGTTTTCTTTTTCCTACTCCAAGTCAGCAAAAAATCAGAGGAAACAAAAGTTAAGTTGGTGGAGAGAAGTATAAATTGTTTTAAATCTCTTGTCTTTTTCCTTTTCCTAACTTATTTTGGTATTTCAGGTATAAAATTAGATCATGGGGCAACCCTATGAGATATAATGAAGGCTCCCAACTTTATTTTATAAACCTGGAACATCGTTTCCTAGGTTCCTTCAATTATGTCAGGAGTGGTTCAATGAGAAAATAGATACAATTCAACCTCTGATTGAAAATCTTCTTAAATTCCTATACCAAGCATTTCTGCCTCAACGCTCCTATCTCTTGCCCATTACTGATAGTTTTTATTTCAAATCTAAGAAACAACTGAGATTTTCATCTACAATCCTTTCCGAATCTGTAATCTATTATAGATCTTTTTAAAATTTCTTTTTGAGAATTTAATTACTGATTTATGGCAGGTGTTGCCCTGAGACAAATGCTATGCTAGAAATGCTACCTTCTTGGAGAAGAAGACTTAGATAAAGAAGGGAGGACAGCCTGAGGCTGGGGTTAGATCTCCTGGTGGCAGCAGCAGAGTGATTTGATTCTGACTGTTGTCCTCTCCTTAAGAATCATTAGTTTACATAAACCAGTAAACTTTTAAACAATCGAGGTACTGCAGAATTGCCTTTAGGGCATAAAAGTTGTGTATTTCTCTAGTAAACATAGATAAGAAATTTGAATGGGAAAATTCCCTTCTCCCCTCTCCCACCTACCAATCCCCTTAGGGGATTGCCGAAAGAATATTCTCTATTACTTATGAAGTATGAATCCAGAGCCCTAGATTTTCCTGTGATATCTCAAACACCCAAATTTCATCAAGAAATCTATTTTGCAATCAAGGCATGTGAGACTGTACTTAGGCCTCTAGATACGTCGTTCATGCTGTGGATGGACAGCCTCCTTAGAGTTGTGTTGAAAAGATTCCGCCTTCCGTCTGTAACCCACTAGAGAGAGTTTATCTGTAATTTTTATGTATAAATGGGAGCTTTGTCATTCTCCTTCTCATCCTTACCTGTTGAGGAGATTCCATCCTTATCAAGTAGAGTCTTTACATTATTCCACAAACAGATTGTTTCTGGGTCTCACATCAGCCTCATGGAAAAGTCCATGAACTCTGTAAGGAACATAACACACAGGCAAAGGACAGCGAGAAGAGGAAAGAAAACACTCTTAGAAGTCATTTCTCATTAGTGTTCCATAAGAACAAAACCTTTGTCCCCTTGGTATTCCTGGATTGAACATTTTCTAGGCTTTCAGCTTAACCACAACCTTGCCGCTTTGAGCAAGCCTTGTATTTAGTTTTTGTCCTCTCAAATTATCTTTCTGTCCAAATCGTATACTTTCTTCAGAGTTCACCTCAAAGCTCATTTTGCCTTTAAGGAGATTTTTCTGATATTGTTAATCCTGTACTATATTAAACACTGGCTTGAATCTTCTCTCAGTAGCATTCTGTGTGTAAATCACCATGTATGTCAATCACGTGCACACACATAGATACCATAGTATGTTTGAGATATAGACTAGGTCTCTTAGAGCATCCCATTGAGTAATCTGTGTGTAAAAGGCTTCTTGTCTTCACTGTGGTTTCTCCATAGCACAGCTCTCTCGTATTTTCCATCCAAGATAATCATGGTCCTGCAGGTAAGAATTTGTCAGTCCACCACTTCTGTGTTTTTTGACTCTGCCTCTTTCATGTTCAGGCCATTTATTTATCTCCTTCTTGACAGTATGTATTCTTTACATCCTATAAGATGATGCTCCAAATTTACCTTTCCTAGAAAGTTTTCCTTAATTAATCCCTTCTCTTTCAAAAAACTTTTGAATTTGATTTCCTTCAGCACTTGCTGTTGCTATGCATAGTATAAGGCTTGCATGGATTGAAATGTTATATTTAATTGCTCTTTTGGGTTGTATGATACCCAAGTTTCTTTCAGCTTTCAAATTCCATAACGCTCCCGGGACATCTTTTTCCCCAGCTTTGAGGAAGCACTCTGCAGCAAACCTTTCTCTTCTTTTTGTATTTTTTAAATCAGCCTCTGCGCACATCAAGCGTACAATAAGTGCCTGCGAACCAGCTCCTCTGCACAGGTAGGAAGCTGCAGAAGACGGCTTGAACTGTAACATGCACGATTCAGGTTGAACATAGGGGATAAATTCTCTGATAATAAAACTGATTGAAGGTGAGAACGAGCTATCGAAGAACAACAGGGACTCTATTCCCTGGAGATCTCTAAAGGGAAAAAAAATAATTTATCTTGGATAGAGTCAGGAGACCAGACTAGAAGATGTACTGAGATTTTATCTGGCTCCAGGATTTTATTAAAATCCTTATTCATTACACTACTTTCATAACATGTTTCTGGTAAGGGGTTTCTGACTTTATTTTCATCTGTTAAAAAATACTAAGTGAAAATAACGTAGGAAAGCCTAATTTATTTTAGGAATTAAATACAGACTTTGAGTAATTAAAACGGAGGAACTACACATTTCTGTAATATACATGTCCAGCACCACTGAGTACATTTTCTTTTGTTTGCTTGCCTTCTTCAAAAATCCAGGAAAAATCTAGAAAATGTTCTTTTTCTTGCCTACAAATGACAATATTTCTATCCGAGATAGATACTTACCATTCTTACTCCATTGCAAGAATTAGGTTTCTCATTTTGTAGACATAAGAGAAGCTGAAAAGTGAGTCCAGTAGTTTCTTTCTAGAACTTAACACTTTCTAGTTGTGGATGTTAGTATTTGTGCCTACTTGTGTATTTCGTCCAAGCTTTACTTTTTTTTCCCCTTCTAATTCATCTACTTTTTATTGTTTTAATATGATTTCCAGTTACAGCAATGAGGTTTCTGAAGAGAAAAAAATTTTAACTGCCAATGAGATGAGACTCTGGCTTTGCTTTCCTGAAGAGCTTTTATTTTTATGTGATTCTTATTAGGGAAATGGTGCTGAAAGTTGGTGCTTCACGTACTTTCAGGCAAGTGTATGCAGGGTGATGTAATTAGGAACCCCATTCAGGTTAATTGATAGATACAGATTTTATAAATAAAAATTTAGAGCATGAATCTGTTGTATCTTATCTCTGATTATGGAACATTGCCACTGATAGCTGGAAATATTAAATGCATGCTCCTGGAAAATTCTCAAAAATCACTTATTTATGAAATCATAGTTTTGAATCGATAGCCATTAAAACCTCTATTGTAACAGGAATTATCACCTTACTGGTAGTGATATAGTGGGCTAAATCACGTCCTCTAAAATATACCTGCAATCTCATAACAGCCTGATCTGACCTGGACACTCACCTATTCCCTTAGAATTCCCTCCTGATGTTGCGGGACGCAGAGTGTGCTTATAGTGAATTTGCCGTTCCAGCTCTGTGATTACTCTCTAAGTGTGGAAAAGGGTTAGCAGGTCCAAATTAAAATATCCTGTTGAAACATTTGAAGGAAGATGTCTTTGGATTCATAGTGAATCTTTCCAATTATTCAGAGAAACAAGTGCACCAGGTCTTTTGTTTTGAACTATGTTGCCACATTGGTCTCCACCTTTCCCCTCTGAAGCCCCATCAGGTCACTGATGCTGTTGTCCTCTAAAATATCATCTGCCTTTTTGAGGACAACTTTTATAAATTATAAAGCAACCTGGTTAGTATGAGTGCCTTTCTGAAAAAAGTATGGAGATTTGATTAAAGTAAAGGGGAGCAGGAAAAGAAAGAAGCAGTAAAAATTTTATTATATTTGGTAACATAACTTGTTCAGGCTAAAAACCAGAACTACTTTAAAATTTTTATTGCAGAGGACTTCTATGTGTTTTCTGCAGCATATTTTCCTTCTTATTGTTGGTTTCAGTTCCCCTGGAATTATACACAAATGCACACGCATGCATGCATGCTTTACTAATGCTAGAAGTGTGTAAGGATGTAGATTATTAAACATCAGAAGATTAATCAACCGAAGCAATGCAAGAGGTGTTTTCAGAAATCCACTTCTAATTACCCACAAAAATTAGTTCAAGAGGAACCAAGGAAGCTGATATTTACGTAAAACTGTACAGCTTATGTCCTCCATGAGCATCTCTCCACCTAATGCCCCACCGAATCTTGTTGCTAGGGCCTCACATAACCTACGACATAATTGATGTGTGTCCCCCTTTTGCCCTGCATCTCTCAGGCAAAAGGCTGATGAGCAGTGAGTTTATAAACAAACAAGAGGAAAAAGGACCAAAGACTGAAACGCTTTTCACCTGGATGCCTGCTTCAGAAAGAATCCAGAGTTTGCCATAAAGAATGCTAATAGATGACATGGGAGCCTCCTTTATGCTACTGGTGTGTTCACAGCTACTCCCGAGAATTTCCACAGAGACATTTTCTGAGGCACTGAAAATAAACTGTTTATTTTTAAGAGACAGTCAAGGCAGTCAAATATTTTTACAAACATTTCCATGGACTCTTTGCTTCCTCTCCCCTACATTCCTTTCTATAAAAATATTTGTATTTCTCTGTTGATGACTTTTAAGAGAATATGTTAATATAATTGCAAGATTTTTTTTTTCTAGATTTTTTTTCTATTTAGGTTGTCCTTAGGTTTTTGGTTTTATCTATGTTTTTGGGGGGTGCAGATGGGAGAGAAATGCTTAGGGAAAACCCTTTTAGAGTTAAAACACTTTCATTTGAATATTTCCGTGATCATTGATCTTCCACGCAGGGTTCCATTTATCACTTTAGACAGCACTGCTCCTGCCTCTGCTTCTTAATATGTTATCAGAGGCTTGTCCTACCATATGCAAATCAGTGACTTTAGCATCCACTCTCCTTTGTTCATCTGTTATCAATTATTTTAGCAACACTTAACCATGGGCCAGGTGCTGTGGATTGTAAAGAGTAAGAGAAAAGCTCTCCACCCACAAGGTACTTACAGTCTAGTTGGAAGGACAGATCATAGACATACAACACAATTAGTAACATAGTGTTATATTAAGCACCAGCCTAAATTGATATTGTAAGGCACTACGTTGTGTATTATAGGAAATTGTTATGAAATTCTAATATCTGATAATGCCAACTGGGGAAGAAAAAAAGACTTCAAGGAAAAAGAAGTCAATGTGACTGGTTCATCTAGGAAAAGCATTGATGCTGGGCCTAAAGGTGGACTAAGGAAAACACAATTAAGAAGAAAGAGCAATTAGAAGTTAGGGATGGCAATAGAGAAACGACTAAGGTAAGAATGACTTAAAACAAAAGTAATCTCAATATATTAGTGTAAGATCAACACATTTTTTTTCATGGTATACCTGAAAACTAGGTATATTTTATAGAGAGACATACTTTAGAATTTCAAAACCATGAAAGCTGTGATTTTTGTGGGTGTTGGGTAAAGAAAGCCACAGAAGGCAGACTTCTTGAAAGAAACTTGATGAGATAGAAACTTCATGCTGATGGAAAAGGTAACTATTTACTTGTATTCATAGGAGTTGTTTCTTTAAAAGCACTTCTTTAAAGCTTTTGGTGAAAAATTCTTGTTTAATGACCATGAACGAAACTAGAGGAGAAGATAATCATTTCAGATAGGAAAATAAGAAGATAAATTTGTTTTTAGAGGGAAACCTTCCACTTTCTGGATAATTAAAGTGTTTCTATCTGATAAGGAGCTGAGTGTACCAATTTCCGGGTCTTCTGATAGTCTGGTTTGTCTTATTTTAATGATGAAAAAAAGAGGTAAGATGAACAGGCTGCTGAAATGATGAGAAGCCGAGTGAGAAAGAACTCAACAAAAGGGGTTGCGACGGCAGGAGCGATTGCTACCCAAGTGGCACCTGTTTAGAATGGGAGAATATACTAGTATTTAAAACTGGTTTGCATGGAAAATATACTTTCAAGTTACTTTTCTTGAACACTAAAAGCTTAACTTTCAAATGCAAGGTATTTGTCAACATTATCTGAAACACCGGACTGGAGGCAAATGTTCCAACATATTTGTTTTCTCACAATTAGAGCTAAGCTGACATGTTGAAAAGATGGTCTTCAAAGATACTCAGAGGCTGCTAAATTTTTGTCAATAATTAGCCTTCACTTTGCTTTTTAGACAAGGAAGTCATGTTTTTTTCTCCTCACATTTGCCAAGTAAGGCTTTTCACTTTCAAATCTCCCCGTCCCAGTGTTTGAATTTAAGCATTTCAAACAGACTCTTCACCCTCAGCCACCATGTGTAGTATTGCATTTATGCATTCAACTTCTTACTCAAGTGATGCTATTTTTTTCTGCCTCCGCCTGACAGCCACTAATAATAACACATGAGGACAGTCAGACAAAATGAAGACAAATGCTGCTTGTCGCAGCAGAATCATAATGTCTCCAGACTCAGTAAAGACAGTCTAACTGTATGTGGATGCTCTTTATAGCTTATTTAGACCTGTGGTTTTTCCCTGTGGTTTTTTTTTTTTTTCTAAAGCACAAACATTGTGCAGAAATACATTAAGGCAACATATGGGCCTGTTAGTTAGCCAAAACAATGTGGAACCATGGAGAATAGAGATTGCAAAGCACAGATGGATACTGTAAAAAATTCATGAGTGGCATAACAGATCTAAAAGGTAAATTTTAGTCAAAATTCAAGTGGAAAGCATGGGAAATACTTAAGAATTTGGCTTTATGAGGTTTTTCAAATCACACAAGATGAAACATTGTGAATATTCCGCAGATTTGTTTATGTCATAATGTGAAAATCAGAGCTCATCATTCAACAATAATTATGTCTATATAGCTTCGTGCCATCAGAAATAGATTGCTGATAAACAATAGCGCTTTGCTTCTATTTAATGTAAATGCTGCAGTATTAAATATCCATATTATTTCCAGCTCAATATTAGAAAGTGTCAGTCATTGTGACAAGTCAGACAGGAGGAGCTCACTGAGCCATTCTCTGTGTAGCCAAGTGCTGTCGAATAACCAGGTTTTCATGCTGTATGACTTTGTTGTTAAAATTGAGTTCTAAGCAGTAAATTGGCAAATCATTTTTCCCTCTTTTCTGTTTGGTACTTTTAACCAAAACTGAAGCCTCAAGGAGACACTGGATTCTTACGTGTACATAATCAAGATGCACCTTGAATTTCGCAGAACACTTGTCTTTCGAAGTTATCATCACTGTGGTTCGTCATTGTCTTTTCTCAGAAAAAAAAAGTTCTGTTCCAAATCCGTGAGGCCAGCCCAATGAAGGTGTGCCTTTGATCCTCACTATAGCCAATCTCACTCATAAAATTTCCTTAATAGCAGTTCCTGAGCAAAAGAATTCTGCCTAGTGAAATAAGTAATTTGGTTCTTAAATTTCCAGTGGGGTAAAATTAGAGAAAAGCAGAAAGGGAAGGGGGTTGTTCTAAACATACAACCATAGAAGCTTTTCCCATTAGAAACTTTTAGATGTCTAGTTGAGAATGATACCATGTGGAATTTAGATATGTTTTGTCATTTTGTTGCTAGAAAGGCAAAACATAGTAAACTATTGTCTGTATAAAGGTTTAAGTAATACTCAAAGTGATCCACTAGACACTTTCAAATCTTAAATACTAGGTAGACAAGAGGCATTGGACTTACTTTTCTATAGTTAATGAAATTGTTAATGAAGAGATTTGCAGAGGACCCCGTTATACTTTGAAAAGATACTAGCACATTATTGAAACAACCAGAAAAGTATTTGGTACTAAGAAGAAAGATGATTAGATTGAAAGTAGACATGATGGACAGAAAGTAAACGACATCACTTGTTGAACTGGACTAATTTTTTACTTTTGAGATTTTTTTGCAGGTAACCTGAAACAGGGCAAGTTTTGTAGCTGGCTCTTCATTCTTGGCACTAATGCCACTGTTGTGACCTTGAGACAACAAATTGAACTTTCTGATAGTTGTCCTAATAGCTCTTTCAGGCAGTTTTGGTGTCCTTAGTGGATTAAAGTTTGCATTAGTGAACCTACTGAGCAGCAGCCAAGACTAATTCTCAGCTCTCTATGACATTTCACACATTGTCAGTTGTTAGTAAGTGTTATACGATAACATTTTGAGATCCTCATCTGAGAGTTGATGGGGAAATATGCAGGATCTATGAGGTTTGCCGACTAAGTTGAGCCCAGTTGAGAAGTATGTTGTAGGGGGTAGGTAAAGATGGCAGTGTTGTGTCTCCTTTACAAAAAAGATAGATTTACTCCCAAAATTTCACAAGGTCTGAGCAAGATGCCAAGCAAGAAAAAAGAATGAAGAGACAGACAAAGAGAGGAAAAAGTAAAAAGGATAAAGCTGCAGGTATAAAGAGAGAGTAGAACTATCTTTCTTCTGTACTGTTATACCCCTGGTCCTTATGGAGAATCTAAGAAGGGTTTGGAAAGTGTCAGATGTATTAGGAATGTGTATGTATGTGTTTTTTATATTTGTATCTTCTATTAAAATGCAAGCTTCATAAGGGACAGGTCACTTTGATTCATTGCTATATTCCCAGTCACCTGGAAAAATACCTGCTACAGCATAGACCTTCAGTATTTGTTGAATGAATGAATTTCTCAACAGACAATTTTCTGTATATTCTCATCGTTATCTAAGGAATTATGGATTTGTTGATATCTCTTTTAAAGTGTTTGGTTAATACTTAGCAACTAAGATTGCTGCAAAGTGACACATTTTAGTTCAGACAGGTGCCATCTGGGGGGAGTGAAAAGAAAAGAAATAGGGAACTTTTAAAATTCGATAGAATGAATTTGTCTTCTCTCCTCTGATAGAGGAGCCCATAATGGTGAGATCATTTGGTTTGTTCAGTATACAATATATGCTGGGGTGGGGGACCGTCCAGCAAGAAACATTCAGTAGAGACTGAGTTCTGAGATAACTCAGAGCAGTCCATGACTTTCCTGTCTCTGTAGTGTGAAGAGCAGAATTCACTGGACCTTGCGAAGGCAGGTGAGAAATCTGTGCTAGCAGTTTGGTGGGCAAGTTGGGTTGCCTGAAGAAGTCAGGAATTATAATTTCAGGCCTAGGTAACCACAGACCAAGAAGGGCATAAAGAGTTTATTGATGGTCAAGACATTTTGAATTGATTCTCCCTGCTGACCGTAGTCTTTTTGCCTTTTTATGTGATTCAAATTATTTAATTTAATTTTGCTTAATTTATGCACTATCACTAGATTCACTCCAGGGAGATGTGAGATGTAATTGGTTGCATTTGACATTGTCTTCCAACACAGCAATTTTGCCCCAAAAAACCTTGCTGAAAGTCAACAAAGCTGAATCTATAACAGGAAATGCACATTTTTATTCTGATCCCACCTTGACCAATGTCAGAGTAGCATGCTTGAGAAGTTAAGTTAATATACATATTAATACCCACTGTGTTCATTATTTTCTTGCGTAATATGTACTATATATGGCCTTTTAAAGGAAATATTGAAAAGAGGGAAAAGGTACGTTAATTCAACAGATGTATTTTGAGCACCTATTATATACCAGGTACTGAGAGATTCAGTGGGGACAAATAAATGTCCTCATGCACCTTTTAGTCAAGAAAGAAAAACAGACTTTAAACAAATAATAACAGATGTAAGAGATGTTAAGGGAAGGGTGCGTTAGAAGTATGTAGCAAAAGAATTTAACTTAGGTCAAAAACAGTCAAAATAGCTTGCCAAGGTCAAGGAAGTTATGGTGTAGTGAGAAGAAACGACTTGAAAAGAAACCGACTTCTCTACCTATCTTCCTTCCTCCCCTCCTTCCTTCCTTCTATAATTGAATATTTAACAAATAGTGATCTAATGTGAACCAGGGCTCAAACAGAGTGCTCAACTCTGGTGAACCAAAACAAGAAATAAAACATGGTTCCCATGAAGGAGACAAAACACTCATCAAGCTGTCACACATGAAAACAAAATTACCTTTTTAACAAGTGCTCCCAAGGAGAGGCAAATGGTGCTACATGGGCATGAGCTGATGTGGTCTGGTTTGGATGGTCAAGTTTCCTTGAGAAATTGATACTTGAGCTGAAATCTAAAGGATAAACTGGAGTTAGTTAGCCAGAAGCCAGGGGAGGGTAAAACATCTTAGACAAAGAAAATAGCATGTGCAAGGGCCTGGTGACAGGAGGAAGCATGAGAAATACACAAGGCTTAACAGAAGGCTAAAGTGGCTAGAGGCGAGAGAATCAAGGGCTAGGAGGAGAGGCTGACTGGGGACACACCTGCATGGCTTTGACGGTCAGGTCTGGATTCCAGAGGAAAAGCAGGGGTGCCTTTGAAGGGTTTTATGGAAAGCGATGTGATCAAATGCAGCCAGGAATTAGGCTGCAGCTAGCCTGGGGGTCAAGACACTGGTGGTGGGGGCTGGCAGCTATCTGGGCAATGCATGATACTATTCTAAGCCTGGGAACAGTGACGGAACTGGGAGGGGGAATTGAGTCAAGAGATATTTAAGAAACATAATCGATGACTGGTTTGAAACAAGGGGATAAAGAAGAATTATCCATGGATCGTTCCCACATTTCTCGCTTGGATAGCTAAGTAAGGATGGTGCCAGTCCATGAGATAGGGAATATGAGAGGAAGAAGAGGTCTGAGAAGTAGGTGGGTGGGAATAGTGAAATCACTTTGGGTCATGTTGAGTTTGAGGTATCTGAGGCATCAAGTGGAGGAGAAAGCACTTGAACATTGGGGCTGGGTCTGGTTAAGAGATACAGGTATGGGAGCCATCTACATAGAGATATAGTTGAAGCAACTCAGAGCATGAGTGAGATTGAGGGGGGACTGTATATAAAAAGAGAAGAGACATGACTTCTGAGTAACACTAGTACTTAAAGGGCTGACTAGGGGAAAGACAGAAGTGATAGACATATAGAAAGAAAACCAGGAGAAAATGTCAGGACCATAGGAGCCAAGGGAGAGACTGTATCAAGAAAATGAGAGAATAAACAGTGTCAAATGCTGTGGAAAATCACGTAGGACTAGGCCTGAAAAATATCTGTTATAATAAAGACGGGTATGGTGAGATCCTGGTGAGAACATTTTTGGTGGGGTGAAACTGTGTAAGACATATTGGAGTGAGCTGAAGAGCCAATAGGAGATAAGAGAATGGAGGACACTTGTCACTCTAAAAGTTTGTTTAAATGGAAGAGCAAGATAGGATTCTACCTAGAGGAGAATATGGAGTTGAAAAGGGATATTTTTAGATGTCTGGGAGTTGATGAATTAGTTAGTTGTATTTGATTGCAACTGAGAATACTTAACTAATGGTGGCTTTATTAAATGCCTTTATTATTTATCTCGCATAATGAGAAGATTGGAGATGGATGGATCCAGGGTTGCTGCAGCAGCTAAAAACAAGTATACTCAAGCCAGGTTCTATGTTATCACTCTAGCTTTCTCTTGAATTTTTGTCCTTGTGCTTCACACTTAATGGACACTAGCGTGATTCTTCAAATCCACATTACCTCATTCAAAGCAAAAACAAAAACATGATCCTTGTTCTCTGTCTTTTTACAAGGGAACAAAATTCTTTCCCAGACTTTTATTTACCCCTACTCCGTCAGACTTCTGTTTATATCTTGTTGGCTAGAACTGAGTTATTTTACCATTCTAGATGAACCATTAGCAAAGGAGAATGTGATTGTCAAGTATGAGCTAGACCAGGGGTTCTCCAAGGATAGTGGTCTCTGGACCAGCAGTACTAGCATCTCGTGGGAACTTAGAGGAATGCAAATTCTTGGACTCCATCTCAGTCATACTGAATGGAGGACTCTGGAGTGGGACCTAGCAGTCTACTCAAATAATCCTTCTAGGCAAATCTGATGAATTTTCAAGTTTGAGAACCATTGGTTTAGACTAATCAAGTCATCCTCTGTTGAGAAAGGACTAGGGTAGGGACTCATGTTCCCTGAGCTCATTGCTTTCTTGGAAAGGATGGGGCATGACCGTTGGTAGACACAGAAAAGTGTCTGCCATTCTTGACTTTCAACATTAAGAGGAATGGGCCAGTAAAGAGAGAGGATGAAGATAAGAGAGGGGTTGATTGAGAAGGGAGATGAAGATGGAGGAGATTCATGAACGCAGATGGAGGGAATGACCTTCCCTAAGAGGGTTCTGCCTCCACGTTAAGAAGAGAGCTTGAAAAAACAGTGCGTGCAGAAGCAGATAGGCTGGTAGTAGGAAGGTTAGAGGTTCCCTTATGTTGGTCTCTGGGAATAGAGGTAAAGTTATCTGCTGAGAGAGAGGGGGAGGTATAGTGGAGGTAAGATCTGAAAGAGCAGAGAAGGTCTAAAATACTTGAGGAGAAGGGGAGAGCTTACCAACCTGGAAGCTACTGGAATGTATATGAGGTTGTAAACCTGCTTGGGGTCCGTGAACATGAGTTCAGAGTAGGATAGTCTGCCTGGTTGTGTGAGAAGCAACAAAGGGATTTAGGCTGGGAGCTCAAAGATAGCTTGATTCCTCTAGAGTTGTGGTTTTGCCAGAAGGATGTGACAGAAGGTCATGGACAATGATATTTCAGATAATGTTAAGAGAGAGGTTGAAGTGATGAACTAAGCAGTTCATGCTAAAGGGGAGAGTTCGTGAAGATGGGTTACAGGGGAGAGTTGGTCCATGGACCCAAAGTCATGATGCTATCTTCCTCTTTATACATTTGGTAAGAACCATTCTAAAGAATAGGTCAAACTGTCCCCACATTGTTAATTTAAAAAATTAGAGTCTTATTGTATTATGGCCTCTTCTCTCTTTATCATGAGAAATTTGAGTTTTGTTTGAAGGTGTCACATTTGCAATGAGTTATGGCAGACTTTTTCTTATCATTCAGTTGTAGGACGTTATGCAGGAAAATAAGCCAGAGGCTTTAATTTGACTTACCTTGACTGCTTTTTGACCTGTTCTATTTTCCTTTATTGATGGATAACATTTTACAGGCATAATTTTATAGGCCTTGCACAAATCTTGGTAAGTCATATGTATAATATAAGGTGGAGGACTGCTTTTTATCCAGCTGGATTTATCATTTCCTTAGCCAAGTAGAGAGATAGTCGTAATTTCATAATGTACTTGATAACTTGAAAGATAACATTTTGTTTTTTTACGAAAACAATCTCCTACGAGCTAAGGAAGAGTCATTGTTTGGGAGGATGGCATCCTTCTTCTTTATCTGTATGCAAAGGAGCTACTGAACTTCCCAGCTGTGGCCACACTGAACTTTGAGCCTGTTTCTCTCTGCCACCTGACGTGTTCCTCCCTGGGTTGTCCTAAAAGAGTACAAACCAATTGTAGTAATCTGAATTGAAAATAATTAGGTGCACATGTTTCCTGCTAGAAACATCATGGAGTAAATTCCATAGCCAGAGAGGCATTACTTCTATACCGTGCCATGGTTTGGATTTTTCTTGCATTCCCGCAGCGTCTAGTGCAGGAGAATCACCCTCTCTATGAATGTGACTAAGGAAAAGTCAGATGCCAGCATCCAGACGTTCATGATGTGAGCATAGGATAATAAGACTGTTCCTGTGGAATTTTGAATCTGCTTCCAAAGGTAATTAGAAGAGAAAAGAGCCAGGCACCTTGAAAGTCAACAAAATTGTTGGAATATAAGTTCCACAAGGACAGGAATTTTGCTGATTTGTTCACTGCTGTATCCCCAGTGCTCAGAACAGGGCCTGGCACATAAAGGCACTCAATAAATATTTATTGAATGAATAAGTGACTCTTTGAAGATCAATATTCTTCTGTAAATTCTAGTGTCTGTTAACAAAATAGGTCTTATTTCTAGGTAGTTATGTTGGTGGAGACCACCATAGGGAACGGAAAAAACGCACGGTGCACTCATTTACTTGTTACATTTATAGCAACTGTGATTATTCAAAGTTTATCATTAGTTAAACTAATTCTTCGCTGATATGATTTGTGCCTACTGCATATTGCTGTGAATGAATATATATACTTAGAACCATTGAGGTTACAGTTTGGGTATTTTATTCCAGTGGTAATTTATGTGTCACAGTTAAGTTTCTTTGAATGATAAGTTGGAGAATCTGTGGACTCAACTCCAAATACTCGTTAACTTAGGATCTACCTCAAGGCTTCCAGAGAGTCTTTTCATTCTGTGGAGTGATGGTCTTTGCTTTAGGACACTGGAGAAGTCACAAGAGCTGATCAAGTGCATGGATGTCCAAGTTAGATAGACCTGGGTTCAGTTCTCACATTCTACCACTGGCTATTGAGTGACCATGGACACGTATTTTAAATTCTCTAAATTTTAGTGTAAAACAAGGATATTAATAATATCATGTATTTCATAGGATTATCAGGATTGAATGAAATATTACATGCAAAGTACCTAGCACAATGCCTGGCACATAGTAATTGCTTGATAAATATGAGCTGCCTGGCACCTAGTAAGTACTTGATAAATGTGAGCTGTTGTTACCAGCTATAATTAGTTCTTAAAATCTGCATATGAATTTGTCTTTAGATATATACAAATCCTTACGTGTATTTGCTGGTGCTAAATTCAAATAAAGTAGTATAAATTGCAAAATTGCTAATGTTGAACATTAATGTTCATTACAGATTAAAAAATGAAAATCTCACTTCCTTCAGCATCTTGTTTAATCTACTTGATTAGGAAAGGCTCTTTTATGAAAATGATACATTCACATTTTAGGTGGGTGTTTACAGGTGTTTAGAGTCACATTGAACACTAGACCAATCTTTAGACTAATGTGGACTTCCAGCCACTTGAAAACATAAACTTTGCTATCAATAGGAAAAAATCGCCTTTCTCTAAATCCCCTGAGCTTTGTGATTGTCACTGGTGACCGGGCTTCTTTTCCAGGCTGTATCATTCGCTTCAGTATTTTTATTTATTAAGGTCAATCAGCTCTCACAACGAAGTCCTAACTCTACAATATGGTACAGTCAGCTTTGTGGGTTGCTTTTTCTCTAGTTTTATAGGGATACCAGCAAAACTAGAGACTTTTTGGAGAAAGGAAACCACGATGGTGAGGAGCTTGGAAATCATGTTCTTTGATGAATGTTGGAGAAAACACAGATGCTTAAGCTAGAGAGGAAAAAAAGACTTCCTAGGAATATGAAGGTTATCCCCAAATATTTGTAAGCATATCATGTAGAAGAGGACAAAAATGGCATCTTTGTATTTAGAGAGGAAAGATGAAAAATAAATAAGTAGATGTTAAGGGGTGTCACATTTTGATAAGCATTAGTCAGATGAACTGGCGTCTGTGAAGTACATAATGATGTTCTCAGGTACCAGTCAGCTAACTCTCCTCCCCAAGATAATGTAGCTGGTTACGGGTAGAGTGAAACCCACCTGTTTTGACTTCAAATTCAGATTGTTGTTGTTTAACCCTGTGCTGTCTCTTTGATCTTTATTAAGTTTAGTTAGGCTGGTCAGGTACTTGTACTGTTGAGACCATGTCCAGGGATCCACTTTTCTCTGGGCCGGTGAGGTTTATGCAATTCGACAGCCACACCTGACACCCTGTCCTTAGCCGTCTAGCTTCCAGTTGATGCTTTTGATTAAGACGTGGGACAGAGTGTATATGGAACTCTCACCATTAGTAGAAAAGCCGTTTAAAGGATATTTCCTTTTGACCATGGGTCAATGATATAATCTTTATATAAGAAGGACCATATATGCTAAGGGTAAGTTATGAAAAGTTTCCCACTAGCACCTTATTTATGGATGTCTTCTGATCTCTGCATATGAGCATGGGCTATGAGGAAGTTCAAAAGAATCAACTTAAATAAAAGGAACTCAAAGATAGATTTTGTAAGTTTGGTTGTGATGATAATAATTTATGCCACCGGGGTATCCCCTGCTTCAAGGAATTTGTTCTTATAAGTTGTTCCTTTCTCCATGTTTCTATGCAGAAAATTGCAAAGCTAAAATTTCTTCCCTATTGTGGATGCCCTTTGGGGCTGAACCAAGAGTTTGAGAGGAGAATGAAGGTCGGAAGTTTGCAGAGTAATGGCTCATCTGGTCACCTCAATGGGGGTGTGAGCGTTTCATCATTTAGATAAAAGGGGTTGTTGCCTGTGTCATTTATGGAGCTGTTGGTTTAGAAAATTTCACCATCATCCAGGTGGGTATCCTGAAAACCCCAAACATAAACTTTTCAAGGAAATGAGGCTTTATCAAGATTATAAAATAAGAAGTGCTTGTCATTGCTCTTACATGCTGGCGGAGCAGCTCAGGGTCAGAACCCAGTAGTATAGGATGAAAACCAGATTCTGGTTCTCACCTCTGTTTTCCCTTCCCTCTCTCCTTTCTTTCTTTGAAAGAAAAAAGCAACATATTTCCTAGGAGTAGAGAATAAACTGAGAGGTTATACTTGTCTGTGACTTGCCGGTGATCACATAGAACACTTGTTGAGTCTTTGAGTCATTGTTCATGCATCCCCCTCTAGGATTTGTTCAGATTCTATAGAGCACCGGAGGTCCTAGCAGACGCATGTTATGGTATGATTCCAACAGGACCCTTCCTTGCCCTCTCTCCCAGCCACATTCCCACTCTTGGGGGGTCTGCACCATGACAAGATAACCCTTCCCAGCCTACTCAATTGAAAGCGCTGATTCACTGACACTTTGATGTTATTCCAGAGACATGAGTCAGGCGGCAGAAGTGGCATCAGATTTCCTCAGACACTAAGGTGAGTGCTCAGGAAAGGTTGTAGACTTACATTTGATTTCCACATCCATCTTCTCCTTGCAAATTAAATTATTAATTTTCCCGCATGCCTTCTTGTTTAATGAGAAGAGTGGTGGCCTTTATCTGTGCATGTGTGCAAACAAAACATCACAGCAGGAGCTCCTGAACTGCCCAGGCAAGTGGAGGGGTTAAGCAGGCAGATGTAACTGTCTTGGTATAGTCTGTGTCATTTGCAAAAGTCTGGATGGCTGTTGGCATCATAAACATGGAGGGATTCAGGCTCCCAAGCACCTCCCTGCACATGTATCTGAAGATGAAAGCTCCTCTTACAAATACAAAGGAAGGATCAAAAGAGGGGAAAATAATGGCATTTAAAATGCACATGTGAAATGCAAAATTATAATCTGATTGTTTTTCCAGGGTTCCATTAGAGTGGTGCTACGTTCTGAGATGATACAGTGTTGGTTGATTACTTTCCATGTTTGAGATAATAAATACTCACATCAGCATGATTTGGGACTTGTTACCATAGACATTCTACTACATCTGGCTTTTCTAGCTTTTCACACTAATATATCCCTGGTTAAATATGGATGTTAACTTTTTCTGGTCTGTGGTGCCCCTGAATACCAGTGCCTGGCTCTAATTTGACAAGAAAGAAAACAAAACAAAACAAAAAATAAACACAAATCAGCATAGGTTGTTTATTATAAGAATTATTTAAACATTAACATTTTACATATTAGTTTCTGTTTGTTTAAGGGACATTAAATATTTTTTATGTCATGAATTTGGATATTGGAATTGCTGCCAACTCTAGAGCAATGGGATTCCTCTATCCTGATTGTAGACTGTTAGGTTTATGGCTGTAAGACACAAAATAAATTCCACGTCAGTGATTACAAAGGATTTTAGATTGCTATTTTAAAGATTTGTTAGCACTTGCCTTTGTTTTATACATGTCAGTGTCTTCTTTGGGAGTCTAAAGTTCCCCTTTGCTCAACAAGTGCCAGTGGCATATCCATTTATTAAAATTAAATGCAAACTTTCTTGAGCTGAATGAATAGTCAATTTTGGTGCATCTTTATGATACCTTAGAAGCAGTCTATAACTTCCAGATTAAGAACATGATAATCTCTGTGAGTTCCCACCCTCCCCCCTACTTATTAGTTATTCCAATGAAATAATAAAATTTTCAGAGTTGTTACATGACCTAGCCTTTCCTCTTTTTAAAAATGAAATCACTCAGCAGTCCATGTGAAAAGCAGTGATCAGCCTGACCACTATAGCATTGTTTATATCACTCACTCGTACGTGATATGATGTGATGTATCATATGATTTTATTTTTGAGAAAAAAGGTATTTCTTTAAAAATTAAGAGAAATAAGAATCACTACATAAGGAGAAAATTATTTGTCTTATTTAAGTACCTCTAAATCATTTCTAAAGGAAAAGAATCTGCAGAACTCCCATCCTCCTCATTGAGAGGAATGGGACAATCTTTCAACAAACAATTATAGTTTCCAATAAAAGGAGAAAGTTTGTACAGTCTTTTTTACATATATTTCTTTGGAAAAAAATTGGTTCCCCTTAGTAAAATATTTCTGTAATTTGTTTTGCGCTACTATGTAAAGGTAATTAAATGTACATCTATTTATACAGCTTGTGGGCACTTATTAGTTGGTTTTGCTTGCATTTCATTAACGAATATCTGGTCTTTATCACTTTATATTTTCATAGGACATGTTTCATGAAGAACTCATACGAGCTCCTTTATAAATACATGAAATTGCAATCTCTAGGAAAATGGATTGCAAACCATTGGCTGGTTTGGAATAAACCTGTGCTAAGCCTCAGTATAGTTTATTAAAAGGACTTTGTTGGCTCCAGTTTGAACAGCAGTCTCATTTTTCACGTTCTGTTTCAAAGGAGCCCTCTGCTGGCCAGCTCTGCATGATATCACTGGCACACACATATTTATATATGATTTATAGTCTATAGCTAATATAACCCAAAAGCCATTTGTGATTGAAACTCTATCATTGCAAATTGAATGCATCACTGAAACCTGTTTTGTCATCATTTTTTCGTATTTAATGAACACGCAATTGTCTAAAAATAAAATGATCATCCTTAAAGTTTACTGTAAATCACTGTACATCAGCATATTCCCACACATGAGATAATCGTACTAAATTAACATTCATTACCAATAATTTTAGTAATGAATTATTCAGCTGATATGCAATTATCACACACATTTCTAAAGCAATTACTTTATTACATAGGTACTCCATGTCATTGATTTACTTGTCTGTATTGCATATGTAAATAGGAGAAATCTTTGCATTTACCACACTTTTAAATGCAAAGAGTTCTTTAATGTTTGTTCCATGTCATCAGGTTGTGGAGATGTGTAGTTAGTATTAACTGCATTTTAAGAAACTTGTAGTGTCAGAAAATTTCTGTGATAAAATGAGGCCAAAAAAAACCACTAGACCATGAAGTTATAGGAATGGGATGTTTTTCTGAGTAGTTTATCAGTAGGTTTATATCATCATCAATTATATTCTAAAAGCTCCTGTTAGTCAAGAAAATAATAAAACATGACTTCAACTTATAGTTCTGTCTAGATTTAGTCTTAGATTCAAGGCAGTATATGGAGACCACATAGCATCATGGAACAAACACAGTCTCTGAAATTCGACTGAGTTCAAATCCTGCCTCTGTGGGACCCTGAATGATTTAATCTCATCTTCAGAAAGGAAACAGTGAAATGATCTCAGAATGTTGTGGTGAGGATTAGTGACATAATATTTGTGAAGTGCCCAGCACAGCCTCAGGAAATTGTGAGACATTCTGCTGGAATGTTCTCTGTACATTTAGAGGCAACTACTTGATTTCTCGGGGCAGGCTTATCCTACTTTTGTTAGCAAGTAGCAGCTGAGATATGGCCCTATATTCTTGGACTTCCTTTATATGTGGTAAATTGAGTGTAGTGAAATCGAAATCATGGATAGCATGATAGTAATTTTAGGCAATATCTTAACTTGCAGACTTTAGAGTTGGACCCAATTCTAAGTCGAAATCCTGAAATCAGCTTTTTCTCTGAAATAGCCTAAAAACAGGAGCCATAAAAGTTTTATTGCATGCATGCATGTCTTTTAAAAAATAATGTTCAAAATGAAAAGGAATAGTTGTTTCAGAACAGTTTAGTAAAACACAGTCCTCAAATTTCCATGATGAAGAATGTAACAGAAATGAGAAATGGCCTGACCTGAGATGGTATTGTTGGGTCACCCCTCACATATTCTGTTAGGTTATTCACCCATTAAAATTCACGTCTCACCAAGTTAGTTCTTTCTTTTGAACACAGTTTAGGAAAATGCTACATATAGCTTTGCAGTAGTTTATATACATGAGTGTATATTTTTTCACAGAAATGTAAACACATACCTAGAATATAGTGTGAGTTGAATGAATTTTGTTTGAATGAATAAGAAGTGAACAAATGGATCATTCATTTTCCTGGCAGCTGACTTTAAAATATCCTTTGGTAGATGATAAACCAAGCCAGACTCTCAGTGGGAAGAAAACTGCGTCAATACAGAGCCATCGACTCAAATCACTGGATCACTTTTTTTTTTTAAACCTATATACATAACAGCAGCCACAATGTTTTCAAGGCCAAGACAATTGGGGGGAAATAGACTCACCTATAGATTGAAATGTTTAATTCAGTGATCTAATATCTTAGGCTTCTGTAAAAGTTATGAGTCCAATATGAACAGAGATACATTAATTTTTAATTTATTCACAAAACGTTTGTTAAATATCCAATAATGTCTCTAGTACTCTGCTTGATGCTCTGAGGGATACAATGAAGAATAAGACTCATTGTTTGCCTTTAAGAAGCTTACAGTCCATTTGGGGAGAATATAAATTACCATGATTAACAAGTTCCCCGTGGTCTGGGGCGGGTATGGTGTTTGGATCGGGGTAGTGTCAGCCTGGGAGGCTTTGTGGAAGTTGTAGATCTTTAATCTGATATAGAAGTTTAAGTATTAGGAATTTAGATGGGCACATTAGGTTTACAAATGGTTATACTTATGGGATCTACAGAATATTTCTCCACTGTGACATCCACCAGTCGTAACTCCTTAGCCATCATCTGTGAATCAGATGGCAAACTCTGTGCTCTAGATCAAAGGGCAAAACCTGGTCAAACAAGATTTGTTGAAAAGCCTTAGATTTGATGATCTTGGCTAGCATTAGATTGTTTGGGACATTTTTGTAAACTTTTAAAATGTTAACAAAATAGCCTGTAAAAATAAAATAATGTTGCTATCATCTTAGTTTTCTATTTCCAAGATATTCTGGGATCACTTGTACATAAAACGCAAAGTAAGAACTTAGGAGTTTGTGAAGCCCTGTCTTTAATACTTCTCAAGATACATTAATTTTTCACACATTTTAATAATTTCCTACTGAAATGTATTAAATATTATCATAGAATTATGGATTTGTATCACATAGCCTGCTTGAATTATTTCAACACCCTGTGTGGTAAATGATTGTCAGATATGGTCTAATATGGTACCCAGTTGCTTCTAACTTCTAGGCAATGGCTTAGGCCCTGGGAGAACATAAAGTGGATTTCTTTACTCAAGGGTGGAAGTAGGTGAAAGAAATTGATTAAAAAGAGTGTGAGTGGTTTTATTAACAAACATGCTAAAACTCACCTGCCTCGATATGTCCTGTCCTTTCAATGTATATAAGGTTCTAATCACCCGTGTGTACAGTGTTATAGTTACTCGTGCCATGACCATCTTCATCATCATGATACATTTCCATTAACACTTTGTGTAGAAGAAGCCCTAATCCACCTCTTCTGTCCACACAGAACAGTGTCCCTGAGGCCTCCCAGCCATTCCAGGATGGCATCATAAGGGGTCACTGAGTCTGAGAGAAGCTGCTGGTGCCCAATTACAGTGATTCCACAGTAGCTCCAACCAGTCTCAGAAGAGGAGGCAGGTCCATTTGTCAGAACCAAATGTCCCTTGGCTCATTTCTCTGCAGTTAAACAATCATCAGTGTGCCTGGATTTGAGTCTTCTAGGGCAAAGGAGGGGCGGAAAGACAGCACGAAGAACAGGTGGTTTAGAGAAATGACTTGCAGCTTGTACATGTAGAGTACCATCATGCTAACGAGTCCTTTCCTGACTAGTAGATGCATGCAACTATTACCTCTGTAAGCAGGACAAATTAAGCTTACACGTGAGCTTCAATAAGACTTTGAATAGAGACGTGGATTCCTTTTTTAAATCCAGAATAGCTAATTAAAGGGATCATCATACCTTTCTACCTTTTAAAGTTAGCAGGTTGGACATGTGACCTGCTTCTTTGAGTGATTACAGCATGTGCATACCAGTGTATTGGATCACAGAAACAGTAACCAAGACCAGAAAAAGTTCCTTCCTAAAAATTCTCCCCAAATCTATTATCTTCATATTCTTTCATTGTGTTTATGATCTTGGAAGAGAAACTGCTGTTTTTATAAAGCAGCATTTCAAGCGCTGCCAACCATTCTATATCCATGTTCCTGAAAGGTCAATGTATGTATTTAAATTTCTCCTGAATATCCAAGCATTGCTGCATATTTTCATCCAATTTACAGCCTATTTCATCAGTGTAAACAATTAATTTTCCTGAATAAATATGTATATTTGGTTCAGATACCCTTGAGGCTTTCAAGGCGCAATTCAGATGCATACGTGGAAACTGTTCAACTAACTTGCAACTAGTTAGGAATCTGAGAAACCAAGGACATTGACTTTTTTAATTAGGAAAAACAACAACTCTTCCTTATTGAAATTCTAGCTGCTGCACCCTAATCTTCTATTCTGATGTTTTCATTTTGAGGCTACCTACGGCCCATGCTACCCTTACAGTTTTTGCATCCTAGTGGGCTTCTGAAAGGCTGTTTAAAGTCACCCAATGAGAAGGAAAACATTCACCAAGTAATAGCCTCCGGTGGTGACCACAGCTTATGAGCCAGGAGGCTGCAGCCCATCAGGGGCACAAAGGAGGCCCGGGAGTCAAATGATTGGTTGGTGGTTGTTATTGATTTTGTTTATTTCTATAATTCAAAGCTAGATCAGAAGAGGTGATCAGTTTCTGGTTTGTTTTGTGTTGTTTTCTGATTAGTTGATCTCGTCAGTAGTCTGGTCAGAGAATTGGTTTTAAAAATTCACAGACACAGTGATCCCAAACGTAGATCCCTAAAGCAGAGTAGAACCGATTTTTCCAAGCTTGCCTGCTTGGGGAAGAGAAAACAGTGCTGAGAAGTTACCTGATACCATAGAGAAAGTCAGTGACTTCTCACTGAAACCCTTGGTCCCTAAGCTTTTATCCACTTAATAGTTTTCTACCATCTGGATTCTACAGTAGAGTATTCAGGGAATCCAATTGACTGTCCCAAATAGAGTGGCCTTTATTCTTCCCACAAGATTGATAAAGAGAGGGAGAACCCCTTACTGTACTGGAATATATAGCCCTTGCTTTTGAAAGGACAACCACTTTGGGATTGAGCTGGGTTGAAGAATGGAAGAGAAAGTGGCATAATTTGACTTTGACCCTAACTATTTCAGTGATTCAATTATTTTATATACTTACAGCCACACAGCCAAAGTCAAATTGGACATTATGTCCCAGTACATTCACATAGACTTGCAGAAGTAAGGGCTTCAGCTCAAAGCTTCCATGTCACAACTGCAGAAAGGGCAGGAAAGAGCATGTGTTCATGGACCACAAGGATTTGCCAAACCCTGGCCAAAATCTTCATACATTTCAATGTAGCCTATTTCTCTTCCCTTATTTCCAAATGTATTTCCAGCATCATCTTTTTATAGTTGTTGTTAAAGTGAACAACATTTCACTTTGCCAGGAATGTTATAATGAAGATAAAGGGGGAAAATTAAGCTAGAAGGCACTAAAGTACTGAAAATACACTGTAACACATTTGAGAAATAATGTATGTATGTCAGTCAAATGAAGATAGAAATTGTCTTGATATTTTTTAAAAAACATAGCTGATAATGTGATTTCATGTGAAATTTCTTGATGGTTACTGAGCATAAAAAACATAACTGATAATATGATTTCATGTGGAATTCCTACTGGTTACTGAGCACAAGAAAGGCGACATACACTATAGCGAGATGGATCATGCTCTCAGCCCATTTTTATTGTTTAGTGAAATAAAGCTGTGCATGTAAGCAGTTTCTCTACAGTGACAAGAAGACTCTAAAAGTGGCAAGGAAATGTAGCTGAAGGAGGAGCTATTGCTGAGGCATACCTTTCCTAGTAGAGTGGGGGAAGCAGAGTAGAAAAAACGCATCATAGCAAGATTTTCCACTATTTAAACAGTAATATGTTGCAGTGGAGGCTGAATTGCAAGGGTGTGCCAGGGACAAGAGGAGTACTGGAATGTTATAGGAGAGTTGCTCAAAAAGGAAAAGAAGTCTTTTGCATGATAATGGGACGTTTGCCAATCTGGATTCTTGTGTTATTAATGACTTAGCTGGGGTATCGTATTAACAATGACTTCACCAGCTTGGAGACAGGCATCTAGAATCCATGCTCAGAATCACTAAGCTAGTCTGCCTCTAACTCATGATAATAAATACATGTGTAATCTTTCACCATCAATTTTACCTTTAAGACAAAATCCAAAAAAATTAATTCCCACAATGTGTAAAAATTTTCCACGTTGGCTAATAGATGACAAAGACAAAGTGAAAGGCGTGGTTGCACCTAAAGTCGATGCTTTCGTTTTTCCTTCTGTTTTGGCACCTCCAACAAGCAATGGATCTTAGCTTATTGTGGACTGTCAGGAACATACCTACTTGAGGAAAATTCCTGGTGAGTCTCTTCAGTGCTACCCGGATCTGTAGTTCTAAAGTTGAAAAAGTGCAATATATGCAGGAATTAAATTTTTTGCAATTGTCCAATTTCCAAACTTACCCAAATTAAGAAAGCAATAAATAATATCATCTTAGGAGAATAGTACCTTTTCTTAAAAGAAATAAAAGCATTTTACAGAAAGAGGTTCTTCTGTACCTTTTTTACCATAGTCTTTGTGAAGTAACAGGGCATTTGTACGTAGTGTTTATTCTCTGTGGTGGATAAGAAAGCTACTATAGAGAGAGACTAAGGCTGTGCCTGCATGAGCTACGGAAACAAAGGGAACATTCACTTTTGTGTGTATTGAGATATTGCATACCCCTGCCAGGGGCGAAATATGCAACTCGTCTAGATAAAATGAACAGTTGCATGAGTGGTTATATCTTAAAATTCATTGTGGTGGACACACAAGAAAAAGGCGTGAGTCCCACTTCCCTTGGCTAAGATATCACTTTATTCACTGTGGTGCTGACATGGGGGTGAAGGTGAAATAGTGTCCTCAGAGTTCATTTTCCTCTGGGAACTGTGGCATGCCAATGCCCAGTCAACAAATCTTAAGGAAGAAACAGTAATGGAAAATGAGAATTGTAATAAAAATCTTTTTAACATTCCTTCAAATAATAAATCAGACCATTTAAAAAAATTAAGAATCTGTGGGATACCCAAGTAAGTGATAGGAGGTCAGAGCTAGTCAGTTCCAATGGAAGTTAAATTTGCTAGTTGTTTAAAAGAGGTCAGAAACCAACCCAAGTGAAAAATGTCCTCAATTTGATCAACAGTTGGGAAGGAAGATAAAAATGGAATGCTTAATTTAGTGTTGTAATTAAGAATTCCTGTGCTGGAGAATCTTTTCACAGTTGAGCTCCTTTCTCAGGCTTACAAGGCCAGCCATTTGTGGAGGCACTGAAGGCTTCAGACAGCTAGATTTGTGCCCTGCACCCTCAGTTAGGCTTGGTTATGCTAACTATGATATAAAGATGACAGTTAAGACCATGATGGGAGGGAGAGCCACTGAATATTAAAGCTAAATGGACCCTTTGAAGTCACCCAGCACCTCGTGTTACAAATGAGACAACTGAGAAGAGATCTGACCTTGATCCAGGGCCCTTGTCACTAGACCATGCTGCCTTTCTTGATGGTACACAGAGGATGCTGAGGTCGAAGGGCTCCTCTGGGCCAGCTCAGGCTGGTCCCCAAACCCAGGTGGGGCAGGAGAGCGGTGAATTCTAGTGTACAATTCACTGTACCCTTTCCTGGGAGCAATGACTGCTCTCAGTGGAGTTCCATGCCCCAGACAGTATTGACTAAGTATGATTGAGGGGAATGCTGCATGATTTATTTCATGCCAGTTCTTCTACAACTTAGCAATTCGCTTTGTACATTTGTTATAATGCCAACTTATCATTATGGTTTGAAAAACATGATTTTTCCCCCCTAAGTGATAAGAAATATAGAAACTCTATTCAAAAAGCACAAATAGTTGTTTTTCTTATATGTTCATTTTTTTTGTATATATGTTGAGGATGTTTTCTGAATCTCCCACAGTGATAACTAACTTAGCAACAAATGTAGCCCTTATAGTCCTTAGGTTCCTCATCAGTAAAGTTAGACCAGAACAGAAGCATCTCAGCTCTATGATTCGGTAACTGGCCTGTGCACCAGAAGCCTGTGGAATAATGATGGATAATTATTTTTTTTACTTAATATCTATGTTTCACTCCTGGCACTATTAATCCCCTAAGGGTGAATTAGAAAAAAAATATATAGTTATGTGGATATTTTTTGTAAACCTTCTATTGTACAAATAAAAATTAGGATTGCTAAATACATCACCTTTCCTAATAGGAAATTTCATGGATAGTTTTCTGCAACATTCTTTATCAAACCAAACTTTTTTGGCCAATATTTAATATGCATTCTAATGTCAAAGCGGTAGCCTGTAATGGAAGAGAAAGTCATAGAATCTTAGAGTTTCCGGGAACTTCTCAGGTTATCTAACATTTCCTTCCAAAGCAAGCATCCCTTTCAAAATATTCTTGACAAAAGTCACCTGACTACTGTTCAGATATTTCCAAGGAGAGCAAACTTGCTCCCTTCTGGGGAAGCCATCTTATTATTATACTATTCTCATTTTCAGAAACATCTTTATATCTTTCACTTTTTGATCCCAGTTTTGCCTTCTTAACCAACATCTTTTCCTGAGAGCTCTCTTCCGCAAGGTCTTGCCTGATTAAATTCTGGGTTGCTCAATGTACTGCTTCATACTCTGAAGCGACCTGGTGTTCTGATGGAGTCCCAGTAGAGCAGAGACCGGGGTAAGGACTAAATCCCTCCATCTGAAAAGTTTACTTCTACTAATGTGGCTTAAAAGATCACACTAGCTGTTTAGCAGCCACTTCATTGTTGACTCGTCTGAAACTTGTGGTCAACTAAGAGCTTCAGGTCTCAGTCCCAAGACCTGCAGTTAAGGATTTCTCCATCTTGCTCTTGAAATGATTTCTTAGCTGTAGTTTAAGATTCAGTGTTTTTTTTTTCTGTTGACTTGTTGACTTTTAAGTTTAGTGTTTTCTGAACTTTGTTCTAACTTAAGTTTGAATCCGTTGCTTTAACCCTTATGTGAGTTCTCTCTCTCACATACTCCTTATGTGAATTTTGAAGTACATTTTATCTGTATTTTGGAATGTCTGTAAGAATATCTTAGTAAAAACACTGGATAATTCAGGGTAATCCCAGAGCAAACCCGTAGAAGAGAGACCTTTACAGGATGACGTTCTTCCATCAGTTTACACTGAATTCAGTTGTTTGTTAGTTATTATTCCACTTAACTGTATTTTATCTACTTAGACTTCCTAAATTTCAAGTACATCAAATATGCTTCTAATTATAATTAGAGGAATTGTTTGGCTGCTATCTAGAAGTTCTGATAAAAGAGGAAAAAATGTTAATTCCCCAAGACTTGTAGTATACACTTGCTAGCTCCCAGTGATCACTGGCTTCTTTCGTAGGTTCCTTAATCATCCTTAATAAAATGTTCCTTAGATTACCACCCACAGTACTGGATCTTTAGGTTATGGTTTGCCTGCATAGTAAAGCATGAGCATGTTTAATTTGTTATATTTGTATTCTTTTCTATTCAAGTAGATGAAATTGATATATATTGATATATCTAATATAAATATGTGTGTACGCAGGTATACACATAAACACACACACTATGCCCAGTCTTTCATTCCTCTTTAATTACGCTCTTAACCCTTTACAGTTCTTTTTTTTTTCTTTTATCTTTTTTTTTCACTCTCTTCTTGATAGAGAACCTTGAAAGAAAAATAGTAATTTTCCCCTTTCCCCTCCTTGGTGAATCAGCATTATATAACCTTGCTAATTAAGTGTCTCTGACTCTTCCTCATTTATTGTCTTATACCAGATATAGTGTGTGTGCACTTATTTTGCTATCTCTAGAAGTTTTCGTAACTCCAAGATATTCCAGACTCCAGCCTTTCTGACACTTTTATTTTAGTGCTATACCATTTTTTTAACCCATCCTACTTACTGTATATCCGTCCTCATGGTACATATCCTTTTAATATCTGCTAATAAGCATACTTCCAGCTCAGCTCTTTTCATTTATGCTGTCTTTCTCTTCTTTACATCTTCATGTGGATCATTATAGATTATAGCAGCACTTCCTCTCTTAGAATGTCCCAGTTTAGAATGTCCCATTCCATTTTAGAATCTATAAGCATGAGATTATGCCTAACTATTTATTACATATTTTGAATCTGTGCACCTAAAACTCAGAGCATACAACTGAGGATACCCGGCCTTTTCTTCATAATAGAGACCACAGCTTAATATTACAGCTTTTTCTCAAAGTTCTTGTCTAAATCGCATCAATATTCCTCCCTCATTTTGTCCAGAGGAAAGCAAGCATGGGTGAAAACATGCAAAACAAGTCTTGTGAACAGCGACAGAGTGAAATGGGGCTTAAGCCTGGGAAAAAGAAAGCTTGAGGGAACTTGAAACTGACTTCAACTATTTGGAGGATTGACTTGAGGAAGAAGAGTTAGTTTTAATCCATATACTCAGAGGAATTAGAATTAAGACCAGTAATTGAACTGATTTTAATCTCACTCTACAAGCAACTCAGTCTAAACTGACTGCAACCAGTCTCATGACAATCATGTAACTGGAAGTGTTCAGTGACTGGCAGGCCACCATGGCAGAGTCAGCGTAGATGGGGTTCCTGTGTTGGCCTGGATGACACTTATGATTCCTTCAACTCTGAGATTACACAATTTTTATGTTCTAATTTTTCTACCTTGTTCAAAAGAGATTTAAGGTAACTGTGAAAATCAGTGCACATCTAAACAAATTTCTTCTTTTCCCTTCTGAAAGCTGAAATTGCCTATAAGGCAGGAATTTATCAGATGCTCTGCTTTTAGCTGAGTAATTCTCCCAACAAATACAGCAGTGCTTGAGGTTCTCTCATCACCCCGTTATCATTCTGCTTCCCCATTTGATCATCTGCTTTGGGAAATCATCCTCCTTATCTCCCATCAGGCATCTGTAATCTTCTCCCACAGCAACTTCAGTTATCTCTTACTTAAACCAAATAGTCTCTGTTTGTTCCCATCTTCTAGAATTATTTTTTCCTCTGGAATTATGTTTATATTTTTGTTTGTTCTAAACAGACTCGACTCTACCCCAATTTATTGGTTGTATTTCTTTTGATCAATGTGTACCCGCTGTCATCATTCTTCATGCATGAGCCACATCCCACTGAGTCTGGTGTAACTATGATATACTGCTCACTCCTGTGTGTTAAAATTTATATTATTCTTCTTTGTGTTAATATTTCAGGTTTATTTTGTTTTAGTGCTTATACTTTACCCATTAGTATATATACACTCCTAATGCCATAAGTATTGGGTGCAAATCTTCTATTATCATTTCGTCTTTGCCAAACACACTGTCTTTTGCAGCACTTTCTGAGAGAGCTTTGCCTTGGCCTCACCCCAGTTCTGCTGTGTGCCTCCAATTTCCCCTCTAAACCCTCTTGATCTGCCAAACACACATTTCCTGTTTTTATAAGCACTCCTCCATTTGAGCCAGAAAAGTGAGTTATAACCTTGTTGCACAATTTTAAAAATATACTTTTAATTAAAAAATATCCAACTCTCTTCTTCCAACCAGCTTTCTCATACCAAGTCATTACCTCAAAGATGAAAATATTCCACCAATACCTCCAGTTTCAGGCCCAAAGCTCTATAACTCCTGGAAGCACTTTCTATAACTATCACTTATTGTTGCTTCAGTCAACAGGAGTGGGGAGGAGTGTGCAGATTTAATGGCATATCCTTTTGAAAAATGATGAACTTCTTGATTGGCCATAACGAATCACTAACCCATCAGCCAGTAAAGAGTCACCAGCAGACCCACCAGGCCTTTGTCTCTGGTGGCTGCACCAGGAACTCTCCCTGGGCCGATGCCTGTGCCTCCTCTGTAGGCCTGGGGTACAGTACTTTCTTTAGAAGATCTGAACTCACCTATAGTGGGCAGTGCCATTTATAGATTTTATGGCTTTAGTAGACTCTAGTTTTCTCTTTTCCTTTCCTTGATGATAGCTTCAATTCTATAATCTTCTCATACTCCATTTGATTCAATATCAACCCCACTGAAAGCTTTTTCTTCCAGTTTTTATCTTGGATTATTTTTTCCATCTTCTCTAGGAATGCTTCATCTTTTCTAATAAGCTAGGGGATACATAGATATTCCTCAAACTCTTTCACTTTCTTTACTAGGTAATTTTTATCTCATTCCTCCCTCAGAGAAGATGGGGAAAAACTTGTTACCAATCTTAGCAGAAAATTCTTGATTTAACTCAACAGTTTCTGTTAAATCGCTCTTGGTCTTCTTTTTTTTTTTAAACTGAGTAATCCTAATTTATTGCCTAATTTCTTATAGGTTTCATTTTCCAAAATATTTATGATTTTTCTAAGTCCTAGTCATGTTTTCTACGACTTTAATTATTGAGGACAAAAATCTGTAGGTTTCTTCATGCATGATCTGACCAATGCTGAAAAATGAGAGAGAAACTAATATTTTCTGTGCTCCTAATGTTTACTATGTTTACTTGAAGTAAAATGCTATGTTTCAGACTCATGGTAAGCACATTAACTAATACAATTATATTTTCATGTAGCCATTCATTGGGTAATGCATCTTACAAATATTTACCAAATGGCATTATGCACCAGATGCTACTCTGACTAGTGGGATACATTTATGAAAAAGGCAGTGTCTTTATCTATAAGAGCTCACAATCTGCAGAGAGAGAGAAGTAGAATTATAATAGAAACCCAGCATGTGCAGTGCTATCATGTGGGCATATATACAGAATAATGGGGTCCAAAGGACCATCATAGCTTGGTGGTAGAGGTTTGGAGAGTCTTTGTAGAGAAGAGTGCTTTTAAACTACATTTTGATGAATGGATAAGATGTCACATGAGCAAGAGAATTCTAAATAGAAGAAATTTCTATGTCTGCAAAGGTACAGAAACACAAAAGAGCATAGCGTGCAATGCTTGCTGTTAAGTTGTACAACATGGTTGGAATTGAGAGAGAATGTGTGTGTGTGTGCGCGCATGCGCATGCGTGTGTGCACATACCTGTCTGTCTGTAGGAGGTAGGGAGAAAAGTATTAACATAGCGTGAGATGATATTAGACCTCATATGACATAGTAAGTAATTTAAACATTTTATTCTGGGCAATGACTTTTTTAATTTAGAAATGTGACTATAATATAAAGGAGGACTTAGGTATCAGAAGTAGGGCAACTACTTTGGAGGGAAGAGAAAAATGTGAGGACCTGAAACTAAGGTAGAGGCGGTAAAAATGGAGAACAGAGAGATTCAAATGACATTTAGGAAGTAGAAGAAACTGGATTTGAAGACTGAGTAGATATATATATATGGTGGAGAGGACAGGCTAACTCTAGCGGGTCTGGCCAGAATACTTGGGTAGATAGTGGTAAAAATTGATACAGTTGAATCATGTAGAAGATGGCGTAATTTAGGGAGGGGATGGGGAAGATGATTAATTAATTGGGGAGGTAAAGAGTTCGAAGCGTCTGTAAAACATGCAGATGAAGGTATACCTGATTAGAGTCTGAAACTTCGGAGGCTTTAGACATACAAATTTGGAGACCATATGGACATGAGTAGGTTATAGCAAAAGTCATGGTCTTGGGTAAAATCATCCAAGAATATGTGAAGTTTGAAGAAAAGAGAGTCAAAGACCCAGAACCCGAGAGAATTCCATAATTTCAGAAGAAAACTGAATTTATCTCTCTAGAAAACAGGGAAATGATAGAATAGGAATCTTGAAGAGAGCAGTGAAGATTTGGAATGCCAACTGGCAAAGAAGCTCATGAAGCCTGTGTAAAGGAATTGCTGAGAACAGAAGCGGTGCTGAGAGCCCATCTGGGTTCTGACAGCATACATTTTGTGTCTCACTTTATGCAATCAGCTATTCTTCTTGATACACAATGCTGCAGTTGTCCTTACCCACTTAATTATGTTTCTGACTACCATTATTCATAGTTGGCAAGATCATCTTAAATTGAGATTATCTTGCAAGGAAGAATTCCATTTACACTTAAGTTTTGGTGATCTGCAGTCATAATGAGGATCATCTCTCTGCCATCATCTGAATCCTTGATGAAAATGTCAGAGGGCTTCTCAGACAAGGATCAAACACTGCTGAAAACTGCTTTCCCATCTCCAAACCTCTGCACAGATGTGGTTGCAAAATAGCAGTATCTAAGCCTCTGGCTTGGCTTGGTCATCGCAGCCTCAGAATGAGTAAGCCAAAATCTGCCCACACCAAGAGAGACGTGGCTTGACAGATGCCAGCCAAGTCCAAGAGATGGCTGAAATAATATGATTAGAGAGAGGACACCCTGACATATTTGTGGCCAAAATAATCAGCAGTAGAACTTAAAAGGCACCTAGAAGGGACGGAAAGGGAGAAAAGAAGAGAAAGGAAGCAATTTTTAAAAAGAAAGTACCTTGAGTGCCCTGGGAGAGTTAACTACCCCAACTCTACCCAGGCCTGTAGGGGAAAGTAGAGGTGACATTGTCTGCAATATATGGCCACAGGAGAGAGAAGATCTGGACAGGATGCAGATTCACCCCAAAGATAAGGCTGAGTTTTAGGATGACTGAGTGTGCTTAAGCCCATATATCTTCCCCAACTCCATCCCTACGTCTTCCACTCTTACCCCTGTTCATTTGGAGAGTTTTCTGGGTAGATGGAATCGCCTGTATCTTAGTGCAGGAGTCAGCAAACTACATCACAGGGGCCAAATCCAGGCATCTGCCTGTTTTTTATAAATAAAGTTTTATTGGAACATGGCCATGCTCATTTATTTATGTATTGTCATGGCTGCTTTCACACAAAATGGCATAATTAAGTAGCTGCAACAGAGACTGTATGGTCTACAAAGCCTACAATATTTATACTCTGGCCCTTCACGGGAAAAGTTTGCTGACCCCTGTCTTAGTATGAAGACACTGTAGCTTGAAGAACAGCTGTGCCTAAATTCATTTTATATGGTTGAACCACTCTATAACATAAACACATGCACACTCAGGAAACTGAGAATTAAATGGCTAAAAAATGCATTCTAACTCTGAATTATATATTTTTTTAAATGTTGCATAGATTTTGTTTAGATTCCCCTCCTTTTTTTCCCCCAGGCTTCGTCTTAATCTTCCCAAGTGAAATCTGTCCTTTGCTTCATGTTGTCTTGTAACCATATTTCAATAGCACTTAATCAGTGATAAAACTGCTTTGATTTATTCCCAGCTGTGGATATTATTGTTGAAATCTGTGTAAGTGTTCCGACGTGTTATGATTGGAGCAATAGCGTTTAAGAGTCCAGAGGCAAGTCAGAAAATTAACAACTGAGTTTTCTGATGCCTAAATTAACTTCACAGACAGCGCTGAGTACAATAAGAAAGTTCTGTAGAAACTTACTCGGCAGTATGTAAAGTGTCGAAATGGCTCACCCATTAAAAGAGTATTATATCACAAGGAGAAGTTCTCATTGGATAAACTCCCCAAAGGCAGTACCAGAATTTCATATAAAGGACAGCTGGCTGCTCTTTTCTTCCGGGACACTTTTCTTCATGCAACGTATAGATTATTGATGTCCAAGCATCTAATGTGACGTTTCTCCATTCTGCAACAAGACTGGGCCTCACTCTGTGCCTTGTGGTAGGCTCTGCTGACACATCTGAAGTCATCTTAAAAGAACAAAAGAAAACAGTCTGTGTTCATTGCAGAAAACTTACACTAGAGAAAATACAAAGAAAAGCAAAGTGACCTGTAATCCTAGCACCTAGCAATATCAGCCCTTTAGAGTACAGTGTTCCAAACTGTATTTTTTTAGTTCTTGCATTAATCATGAAATAAGACAGAAAAACTATCTGGGTCTAGATGATATTTAGCACAGTTATGTTCCAGATTTCCCCATTCAATTTTCGGTACTTTATTTCTTCGTGTAAACCTTCCTTAAATGCTGTCTTTATTTCACTGCCCAGACTGCTTGTAGTTTAAGTTGTACTATGCATTAGAATTGGTCATGATGTGGCATCATTTGCTCTTATCTAAATCTGAACTTAAGTAAATTGGAGAGAGAAGTTTTCAATACATGGTCATTGGTTTTACTCAATTCTCTCCATCCGTTGTTTACAAGTGTTCTCACATACAGTTAGATGTGGTTACATAGCATTGTTGACCATCATGATTGTAAGGTATTTAGTGGAATAGAAGGGTTTTTTTCTTAGTATAAACTCAAGATATTCTTTTTTTCATGAGACTATTGTCCTTTGATGTCCTTAGGAGCTTTGTAGCTGTCATAAGCCTTTTTTATTTGAAATAATGACATTTGATCATTTCCTAACATGTGCTGAAGATTATCACACCCGTAAGCTGTTTAGTATTACTCCATTGCTGTGGATCAAATTGTTTTCTCCCCAACTAAACTGAAAACCCCTTGAGAGTCAAGACTGTGTATTTTATCTCTAGATTTCTAGTATCTTCTCCAGCATCCAGCGTCTGACACACAAAAAATACACGCTTGATAAATATTTACAGAACAAAGGGGAAATTCCTTGCCCAAGATCATCTATTAATATAGTGTCAGAACCCGTGTCTGCTTCCTTGCTCTGGTGTCTCCTCGTTTCCCTCTATGTTAGCTCGTGTAGAATAGTGAGTGGTTAAGAAAATAGGCTCTCAGTTTCAAAGTCTGTAAGCCCAGCAAAGTTGAGATCTGAGTTTCTTCTACTTCTAAGCCATGTGACCTTGGCCACGTCTCTGGATCCCCATTCCCAGTATTTGTAAAATAGTGACACCAATAGAACCTACCGCATAGGGCTTTTGAGCATGAAATGAGAGAATGCCCTGAAGTGCCTTACCCGTTCTAAGTGCTTGGCAAATGTTAGTTTTATTTCCCCCTCTCTCCTGGTCATTTTTACATATTGGAGTAAGCTGTTTTATAATAGGCACTTTATAAGTTTAAAACTTTTAATATGGATAATAAATATTAAAAATAAGTGCTACAAATACATGACTTATTATTATGATTTACTTTAGGTTCATTTTACTTTTTAATTGTAGATTTACATGCACTTTAAAAGAATAGTTTACATGGGCCTGTTGTTTTTCTATGTTATCTCACACGCATTTTCCAGGGAGAAGTTAAGGAATAAAGAAAGGATGTAAGTCTTAGGGCTACTCAGAGTTATAAACAGGAAGAAACCAGAAGCCCAATAACAAGGTTCTCTAACTCTTGTGTAAAATCTTCCTTTCGTATTAAAATACTGAACTGAAGTATCCATACAAGTGTTATTTACACCCACAGGCAGGGCTCGGGCTTCCATGTCTTCTGCTGGGTTTTGCTTGAGTCTGCTAACAGCCTCTGTATTAAACTCATAATGAGATTAAAATCTACTGTTCTTAGAAAAAGAGGAGTTGAGAATGTGTTGCAAAAGCTCTTTTGTCTCATCATATTACTGTTGATGCCCTCTTATCCCAAAACTTGGCTGAAGCTGGAGCCAAAATCTATATAGGCTTACTGTGAAGTGGCCTTGTGAACGAGCGCGTCCAGGCAAGGAAGGAGCTGAAAGGTGTTTCGAGTGCTCCCGCTCCTGGACACTGACTCTCACGAGCTGGGCGTTCTCCCTGCAGGTGGCATCCACATGCTTGATGTTTCTGTGGAGGAGGCGCTGACTTTTTAGCTCTTTTTGCTTTTATTGTGATCACAGAGGCAAACTGGATTCATTAAAGATCATAATAGGATTATATGGAAAAAAATCCCCAATTTTCTAATCTAACGTGAAAGAAGTTCCTCAAGAAGTAGACAAATGCTTTTCTTCTGCAATCTTTTTGAAGAAAGAGTGTGGAGAGACTGATAAGGTAAAGAAATCAGGTCATAATGTACAGCCTGGTGATCTGCTAGACCAAAGGTAGCAATGACCTTTTTAAAGAAACAAATTGAAGTATAGGTATTCCTATTGAGGTTTAAACTCTCTCTCTCTTTCTTATTATGTTCCAGTAAGCATGGTTCCTTATTGTTAAAGGAAAAAGAAAAAATTAGGTAACGGAGAGTGACTTTCTTCCCTGCTGTAGGACCCCAACTAAATGACACGATCATCAGTGACAGTGGCTGCTCACTCTCTCGCAGACGTGTGTGTGGACCAGGTGCCTGGGCCAGGCCAGCTCCAAGCTCAAGCGCAGCCTCTCTCAGGTGTGCCTGCCCACCAGGCCCCTGCTGCTGGTGAGGTGAGGAGCGCTCATCAACTCCAGGCTTGGCTCAGCCAGGGGGCTGTTGTTAAGACCTGCCTGAAAGCTGGCGAAATGACATTCCCCGATGTGACTGAGTTTGAATTTAAGATTACAGCCATAGATCAAAGTGAGGAGGACATTTGGGCAGGGGCTCTTAAGAATTTTAGAGCCAGCACATAAAGAAGATAATTATACGGTGTGATTCAGGGCTGTTTCTGCATGTGTCACTCATGAGCACGGCTTGTCCTCCAGTTTATAAAGGGCTTTAGTTTCCCCTCCCCACTCAATGTTTCCTATTATTTAGTATCCAGAAGACCTTTTAAGGGCTGTGATTAAAGAAACCAGAACTTTCTATAAATAGCTTTTCCTGATAATGAAGATCTGCCTTTTATACAGAAAACACATTCTGAATTTGTTATCCATGAATTCTGGAACAA